CATTAGTGGACACGTGTGGTTTACACTTCCCCCTTGGGTCTCTGTAATTTCTGTAGTTCCTGTGATTCCTGTTTAGCCGCTTGGTAACATTCCACTGATCGGGGCGGTGTAGGGCGTCTTCCTGGGCCGCGGCCGTATCCAGAGTTCGTTCCCCGAGGCGATTGGACCGGCACCGTCCCGTAAAAGGAGTCAAACTTTTCTATTGAATGCACACGGTGTCTGTCAAAAGCCAACACGGTGAGAAAGGGATCTTCCCGGGATTCCGACGTTTTGATTGGACAGTAAGGCCGTCAAGCAGCGTTTTAGTCTTCGTGCGATTGGTTAAAATGAGAGCCAGTTCACGGTATCGTTTTGCGATTGGAGCAGAGGCCGTGCTGGGGGCGGGGCACATTTATGCGCGTCCAGCAGCGTACACTCTCGGGTGGGCGGATCGTAGCGGTGACAGCGACGCTCGGAGACTCTGGACAAACTGTCAAAAAGGAGACAACTAACGGTGAGTGACGCTGAAAAATGAACGTCCCGTTTCGTGTGGTAACGCCCGGTGTGTGCACTGAGCGCGGGGTCGGTGGGCGGAAAGCCGCGGTCTTTGTTGCAGTGAACTGACGGTGATTTTGGATGAGTGAGCTCACAGGGCGCATCGCAGCAGGGACTGAGTACGGGTGTAGGTTAATGCTGCCTTCAGGTGCGCCTCGGACACTTTTACTTTCTGAGAAGAAGTCTGCAGAATTAGCACGCTTATGCTTTAGGCTAGTTAGCACCATGGTGGTATTGTTGTCGTTAGTTTTTTAGGTTTTATTTCTCCCTCTGAATGTCCGCTTTGCCTTCTTATTATCACAGTAGTGAGTAGATCGCGTGCATCCGTGCCAGTATTCCCGACCGCTACAGAGACAGCATGGTGAAGTTGCACTGTCACAGCAGACTCCCACACTGTTACGCAAGTTTCCCCTTTATATGTTTCTGTTGCATCTGTCCATTCATTGGCAGTCTGCAAGAACGACCCCGTGAATAAAACCAATCCTCTGTGCTGTTAGAGTGCAGAGCATATGGGAGTGGGGACAGACTACACGAGCTGTCTTATCAAGACATTTTGAGCAGCCAGCACTTCATTTCATGCACAGATTGCAGCTTTTTTGCGTCCAGTCATGGTAAAATATATATTTTTCCCACAGCTAAAAAACAAAAGTGAAACTAACACAGCAAGTGCCAAAGTGCAGTTTTTCTAGTAGCCACTTTTGAAGCTGGCTCCCAAAGGGAGTCTAACATGAAAATGCTCAACATACCAATATTTGTAAAAAGCACTCTCTTTCACTCTCTGTGGATAAAAACTGTATGGTGGGTGGAAATTTCCTCATAGCTTTAGCTGAAAACTTGGCACCCCACCCTCATGCCCAGATATGGTCACATCTTGGTCCAAAAACCAATGTGAAGGACTAAAACTGGTGTTTGTGTTTTATAATGCAGAGTTCAACCGGTAGGAGACGTCACGGTTGCAACGTCCGTCTTTTATGTACAGTGTGTGAGGAAAGCAGTTTCTGAGCATGCTCAGCTTTACTTGAGGAACAGTAGCCCACACTGGTTTTCAGACTTATTGGAGAAACCAGAGGAATATCTCAATGAGTAATGTTTTGGTCTGCAGTTGCACGTGTTGTAACCTCTCTAATTTTCAGAGAGATACTGTATCTGCTGTCACTGTTGCTTTAACTCGTATCACAGCTTGTTACACTGTTGCACTGCTCTTAATGTTGCTAATAGTTGTTTAATATTTAAAGAATAAACCTCAGGCTTTCCCTATTATGGCAGAAATTGGGTAGCAACACAGTATAGGTTGGATATCAGTGTGAGAACCTATCTGTTGACTGATGTCAGCACATCTGCAAACAAGATGAATTTACTGATGTCACCGTCCCACATTTATCTGCTGAGTCACGCTGTTTTTGCTCTGGCCAAATGTTCAAGGATAGTGTGGTGAATTCTGTCATGTGTCACAGTGAAGTTTTGTTTCCTTGGAGCAAACTGGGTGGGGACTGCACCATCATGTCGAGTCATAGTTATCATCCTGCTGATAGTTGCTGATCGACTCGTTAGCCAAGAATAAAGCTGTAACCTGTCGCACCTGCAGAGGATTATTAACGCAGCAACACGTCGTCCGTATGTCAAACCTCGGCTGTCTCAGAGCGTTCTAACCAGGTTTGAGGACAGATTGCCAAATTGCAATTAAAAGCAAAAAAAATAATTTAGCTTCATCCCTAATGCACCAATCACTTTCCAGCTCAAACCCACATCTGTCCATCTTAACTAGTGGGTGGAGCTTGCTCAGTTGTCCTAACAGCTTCATTCTGTCGTCAAGCTAGTCGTTCTTTGGGCAACAGGATTGCATCATCACTACATGTGACACAGCACAGGAACAGCCTAGTAGTGATGTAATCAAGAACAACCGGGCTTTCCATTATTGCCCACATGTGTCCTCTTTGCGTCGTTGTCTGCAGAGAAAACTACAACTATGTCTGGAAAGTTTTATTGAACGATGTGTGAGCTTCAAAACGATGATGAGCTATTTTGCCCCGAATCTTTATGGAGCAAAGCGCCGCTCAGTGCAGCCACGTGTGAGCGAAACTTAGTGATGCTGCAAACCTTCCATGTTTAGCCTGCGACGCTAATGCTGTCAATCAGTCGCTTACATCTTGTAAACTTAGTGAAGTTTTTATTACAAGTTAATTATATATATATATATATCACAAGAGTGATATATTTGAGTATTTATCAGTTTGCATCATCAAACACCTTCAAGTATTGAGCATCTATGAGTAGATTGTGGGCTTGGTTGTTGCATGCTGCGTCACATCAGGTGTTTCTGCAGGTTTCCTGTGTTTTCTGTGTCATTTGGTAACTTTTTTTTATTCTGCTGATCCAAACACGTGTGCATCGCCTCCTTTACATGCAACCTTGCGCCTCCACCTGCAGTTTAGCAGCAAATTTATCCCAGAAATTGATATAAAGAGGACTGACAGCAGAGAGGATTGACCCTCTGTAGCAGCCTCCCTCCCTTCATCACTCCTTCTATCCAGATTACTCTCCAATCCTGTAGCAGCCAGATTACTGAGCGGTGGGGAAATAAGAGGTGGGACTGATCTAAGGCCCTGGATGATTATGGACCTGATCCAGTCACATCCCTCAAATGTCCTGATGCTGTAAGTCCACCAGCAGCCCTGACGGTTATCAAGCAGTGGCCACAGGAGTGGCTGAAACACTGGGTGTTTGTGTCCAATCATTTCCTTTCTAGGGTACGATGCACGTCTGTTCTCTGTGTCGCTTATTTTTTACTCTTGTTCAGGAGAGAAAGTACCTCAAAAGTCTTTTACTACATCTGTTTGATAAAGTGTGGCAGCACTGCCAGAGCCCACGTTTCCACTGGAACATCTGGTTTCTTCTCTTCCTATTTTATAACTCGACAAGTTCTCAACTCTTCATATTCTGTTACAGGATATCTGCCACTGTCTGCCCACTTTTACATTTTGGGGGAATAAATATTTTTTCCCTGCTGAATTTTCTGATGATTGTTGAACTATTTGTGAATATTCGCAGCAGTAGTCGTCGTCCTTCTCATCAAGCTT